TTGTTTGTTTTTCTATACTTAGCATCATGCTATACAAAATGTTCAGTGATTTTTTAACCTAAATTATCATGCTTACCTTTCTATAATCTTTTATTACTTCATCTTTTTAAAACTACTTAGTATTGCGCAGCATGAATGGATTAGGATTTATGCAGAGAGTCTCTGACTGATGGCCATTTAGATTCAGCAATACTTTAGCAATCATCTTTGTACAAATGCGTGTCTGAGCATATGTGTGAGCATTTCTGTAGGATATTAATAAATTCCTAGAATAAGAACCTACGGTATGTGCATATTAGGTTTCGATATTGTCAAATTGCCCTTCAAAAAGACTGTGCCAATTCATACTCTATCAACGATATACTAGAGTGTTTCCCCCACGCACTTGCTAACCCTAAATATTAGCGTCAATCTTTTTAAATGTTTGCCACTCTGGTGGGTGAAAAAAAAACAGTATTTTGAAAATTTTTATTTCCTTGATAATTAGTAAGGTTGAGTATCTTTTCAAAGCTTACTAATCCTTTATAACTGTGGTCTCCAACTCCTGGGCCATGAACTAGTACCGGTCTGTGGCCTGTTAGGAACCAGGCTACGTCACGGTCTGAGCTCCACCTCCCCCCACCATCCGTGGAAAAATGGTCTTCCGTGAAACTTAGGGACCGGGCTGTACAGCAGGAGGTGAGCAGCAGTGAGTACAGCCGCTCCCCATCACTCACATCACTGCCCAAGCTCCGAATCCCCCGCACCCCCATCCGTGGAAAAATTGTCTTCCATGAAACTGGTTGATGGTGCCAAAAATGTTGGGTGGGAACTGCTGCTTTATAAGAATTCAGTTGGTTACTTGTTCATGTTCTTTGCCCATTTTCCTACTGGCATGTTGTCTTTTGTCATCGTAGGAGTGCTTTGCACGTGGGACACATCCGTCCTGTGTTACGTACATCGCATACACTTTCCACCTCCCCCACCCACCCCAGTGTTCCCCTCGTAAGCACATGGTGGGCTCCCTGTGTCAAATCCTCCCTCTTCCAGCCCCTCAGCTCCCTGACAGGGCCACTACCGAGCGGGTGTGTGATCCTCATTCTAGTTTTGCAGACACAGAACCTAGCAGTTAAGTGTGTAGTCCTGGAATAAAGCCCAGACTCCAACCCCAGCCCCACATTCGCCTGCGCCGCTTACGAGGTCTGTGTCTTTAGGGGTGACCCGCTGAACTTCTCTAAACATGTTTCTTCAGTGATCAAATAGAGGTGACAATAGCATCAATCCCACAGGCTATTTTTGTGCGTGGTAAAATAGCTACCGTTTCTTGAGTCCTTAATTTGTGCCAGTGAATACGTCACAGTAATGTATTATGATAATGCGTTCATGCATTTAACCCTCACAACAATGCGTACATTGTTTATTTGCGTATTCACAAAGCCCTCAGCACGGCGCCCGCCAGGTAAACGTCAGCTTATGGCGTGAGAGGTACCCGGCAGTGCGGCAGGGCCATGGGACAGCAGGTGGGTGCGTTTCCCTTCTCCCTAGCGTGGCAGGTCTCACCCTGCGGTCAGGCCTCACGCACAGCTCCTGGTCAGCAGCCACAGTTCTCTGTGCTCTCCCCCCGTACCCCTTTATCACTGTGGCTGCCTTTCTTCTATCTCCTCCAGCTCTTCCAGGGTTTTGTTGGAGTTCACCAAACCGGAGCCACGTGCCCCAGATTCCTGGGCACATGGATTCCATGGGTTCAACCTCAGGCCATCGGGAGGCAACGTGACACAGAAAAGCCTTCTCTGGCCTTTGATTCCAGCACTAGCTCTTCCTTTTACTCCCGGTGTGGCCTTGGGTGACTTGCGAGTGACTCGCATCTCCCAGCCTTGGTTGTCCTCATCTCAGCGGGGGACGGTGAGGATGACCTGCGCTCTGCAGAGTGCTTAGGGCAGCCCATGCGGTGCTCGGCCAATGCTAGTTCTTCTCCACTTCTTCCTGCCTCCCTTTTGTTCTGATTCCTTTTCTAAGGCGTTGTATTAGCTTTTTGAACGAAGTTAGCACGCTGTACCAAGCCCAACAGCTCCCCGAAGCTCCCAGTCCCCTTCCAACGTGACAATTGATGCCCAGACACCCACACCTTTCAGGAGCTTCCAAGCTGTTTCTCCCCTGGCTGGTGTCCTTGTGGGCAGCAACATCCATTGCAAAATGCCAGCCCAGGTTTGAGTTCCTTTCCTCTGCCTGTCTGGAGCACAGGACACGTGTGCTGCGTGAACGAATGCGTGAATCAGACAACGTCAGGATCCTTGGTGGGACAGTCACAGCCCGTCTTAATCTCGCTTCCTCCCCAGGCTTTTCTCCCTCCACACCCTTCACCTCACCCTTCCCTGGAGCAAATCAGCCACCTTCTCCATTCACCGGTTCCCAGGGATTCGGTTATTTCATGCCCTCCCTGTGAAACATCACCCCCCAAACTGCAGGCCTCATTTCTCTGGGCCCAGTGCAGCTGGACTCCCACAGCACCTTCTCTGTACCTCTGCGGGGACACTGTTCACTTTCTCTCTGGTGTCGTCACTCAGCCCCTTACTTTCGTTCTTGATGACTCCTGATAGTGGGTTCCCCTTTGCTTCCTGTCTGTGCTGCTCTCAGCGTCTAGTGCAGGGCTTGGCATGCAGTAGGCATGTGGGCATTTGCTGAGTGATGCATCAGGAGGACCTTTTGCTCACTGTGCCAACCCAGCCCTCCTGGGTCAGAGCAGAAGTTCCAGTGCCACCAACTCTGGCTGCTGGGACAAGCAGCTCTGAGCAGAACCTCAAATCCCTTTTGGTCTGTGGCATGGCTCATGAAGGAGACACTAAAATCCTAGGTCTCTGGGGGTTTCTGTTCTAATTCTGTGCTAACTAGGCACTCCCAGGCACAGCCACTGTGGCCGGTGAGTTCTGGCTCCAGTAGATAAAGCATTTTTCAACCAGAAGACATCTTGAGTCTTTGGGGCTCACTGGGCTCATTCCCCAGTTGGAAAGCCAAGACTCAGAGAGGGGAAGTAACTGTCCCAAGGTCCCACAGTAGCAAAGTGAGAACCAAGGCCTTAGGACATCCAATTTACATCTTTTTCCAAGTACCAGGGAAGCACAAGCTGCCCAACTTCTGACACCTCGGCTGAGCAGAATCGGATAAGGTTTGCTCAGCAGCCTGGTGCCTCCAAGGATAAAAGACCCGGGAGTTGGGAACAGTGCATACACACATGTGAGTGTAAGGGTGAAACCAAAGAGCCAGTTAAGCACAGACTTCTGTGACAGTTTCGCTTTACCTTGTTAAAAAATATATACACACACACACATATATATTTTTTCCTCTTATAGGAACAAGACACGTTTGTTGTTAAAAAAATTGGAAAATACTAAAAAGCATAGAGAACAAAATTAAAATCATGTAATTTCCTACCACTCAGAATTAATCACTTACATTTTTTAATTGACAGATAAAAATTATACATATTTACCACGCATTACATGTCATTTTGAAATATGTATACACTGTGGAATGGCTAAGTCAAGCTAATTAACATATCCATACCTCCCATACTTGTTTTTTTGTGTTAACACTAAAAATACACTGTCTTAGCAATTTTCAAGATTACACTACATTGTTATTAACTATAGTCACCACGTTGTGCAATAGGTCTCTTGAAAGTATTCCTCTCCTATCTAACTGAAATTCTGTGTCCTTTGACTGACTTCTCCCCAACCACCCCCCACCCGCCAGCCTCTGGTAACCACCATTCCACCCTCTAATCCTGTGAGTTAGACTTTTCTAGATTCCGCATATAAGTGAGATCATGCAGTATTTGTCTTTTTGTGTTGGCTTATTTCACTTACCGGAAAGTCCTCCAGATTCATTCATGCTGTAAATGATAAGATTTCTTCTTTTTTAAGGCTGACTGGTATCTATTATGTGTGTACCACATTTTCTTTATCCATTCATCTGTAGACGAATGCTTAGGTTGATTCTATATCCTGGCTATTATGAACAGACTGCAATGAACATCAGAGTGCAGGTATTTCTTTACCATACTGATCTCGTTTCCTTTGGCTATATAACCACTACTGGGATTGCTGGATCTAAATTTTTTATATATTCCTTTCTAGGCCTTTTTCTGTGCAAATAGGACTCATTTAAATATCTGGGGTGGTATTGTATGCACAGTTTAGCATCTTCTGTTTTTCATTTGGATCCTAGGGCATGAGCTTTTTACCTCATTATTATAATATATTAATACTCAAAAACTCCATTTTAATGACTACTTAATAGTTCATTGTGTGCCATGATTTAACCACTTCTTTATTGTTGGATGTTTAAAACACTCCTGTGAAGAACATTCTTGAAAAGAATCTTTACCCACATTTTGGATTATTTCTTTAGGACAAATTCCTAGAAGTGGAGGGCACGAACGTTTTTAAGGCTCTCAACACTCGCTGCCAATAGCTTTCCAGAAACATGTACCAATTACACTCCCACCAGCTGCATTAGAGAAGAGCCTTTTGATTCTGCGATTGCAGCAACTCTTCGGGCTGGGGGAGGGGCACTCTTCCATCCAAAGACTCCGGGCGTTCCTGACAATGAACCCCTTGTCCTGCCCACCCCCATCACTTCTTCCCGCACTGCCCTCCATCCCCGGCTCCAGGCTTGGCTGTCTGCGTGGCCTCTGTTCAATCCCGTCCTGCCTTCTTGGCGCTCCAGGCTGCCTCTGAGAGCAGGGTTGGTAGAGGTGAAGGATAAGAGATTTGCCTGTCCTGTGGGGCACCATCCTGCCAGCCCTGAGGAGGTCCCCAGGGGTAGTGAGGGGGAAGGCATATAAGGCTCACTGAATTATGTGCCTCTTTCAGAGAACAACCCCACCCAGTCCTGGGCCAGGGCAATGATCTGCCCATTCAGAAGGGGAAAGCAAAGGCCAGCCTCAGTGACAATGACCACAGGGGACACTGGATCACCTCTGTGGATGACCTCTGTTTCCCTACAGGTTCCGAATCCCCTCCATGAATCCTCAGAAGAAAGTGGACCTGAAACTCATCATCGTTGGAGCCATTGGGTAAGCTCAGCTCAGCTCTGGGAGTTGGGAAGCAGCCTCTTACCTAAGGACAGTTTGACCTCATGGGTGTGTTCCCACCTGCCATGGGTCCCTTTTTGATTCAGGGTGGCACCAGGAACTGCATCCCACCCCAAGGAAGGGAGCTTAGTTGGGAAAAAGAGGCTGGGAGTAAGTAGGTGATTTCTGGCCCCAGCTCTGCAGTAACTCTGCAGGAAACAGCTGTGTAAATTAGGCAAACCATTGAGCACACACAGGAAAAACCAACCATTGCTATGAGATGTTCAGTTCTCTCCAAACCAGTCTGCTCACTTTGATTGGTTTCTACTTCTAGAAATAATTTCCTAGTCCCTTGCTACTCCAAGTGTGGTCCATGGACCACAGACGTTAGAAATTCAGAATCTCAGAGAGAGACAGTGGCAGGAGGGGCGTGATAAGGTTCTGAGGACGGTGTGAATGTATGTGCTTGTATGTTTGCATGTGTGTGTTCACATGAGTCTGGGGTTTTTCCTCAGGGTGGGAAAGACCTCTCTTCTTCACCAGTATGTGCACAAAACGTTTTACGAGGAATACCAGACCACGCTGGGGGCCAGCATCCTCTCCAAGATCATCATCCTGGGTGACACAACTTTGAAGCTACAGGTGAGCAGCTCTCCGTTTCCCATTTCAACTTGCATACACCTGAAAATCACCCCACACTCCCTGGACAGCCACTCATGTAGCAATGTGCACCAGGAGCTAGAATGGTCTAGAGCGGAGATGGGCAGACTTCAACGCATGGGCCAAATCTGGTCCACCACCTGCTTCTTTGTAAATAAGTTTTCACTGAGGCACAGCCACACCCATGCTGTCTTTTGTACTATAATGACAGAATTGAGGAGTTGCAACAGAGACTGTATGGCCTGCAAAGCCTAAAATATTTACTATCTGGCTCTTTACAGATAAAAAAAAAATTGCTGATGCCTGGTCTAGAAGGAAAAGCACTAATCCAGTAGGCGTTGGGAGACCCCACACCTAGTCTCAGGTTCCCTGGGAAATTTGGCAGGTGGCTTTGGGCAAGTCATTCCCAAGGTCCAAATTTCTAAATCTGTCACATGAGAGCAAAAACCCCTGCCCTCGTGACCCAGAGGGAAAATGAGAACTCAGAGTTGAAAGTACTCTCAGGATGCTAAATGTTACTGCAAAGGTGTCCTAGTGTGCACGGGTGGGAAAAAGGCCACAAGGACCATATGTGCCTGTACCAGGGCTTTCTGCTCCCTACTCAGGAAAGGAACCTTTGACATGAAATAACCAACCCAGGTGGGCCTGACTCCAGCCACTCACCACAGCCCCGTGGGGCGGCTGCTCTTCCCCTCCAGATCTGGGACACAGGCGGTCAGGAGCGGTTCCGCTCCATGGTGTCCACATTCTACAAAGGCTCGGATGGCTGTGTCCTGGCTTTCGATGTCACCGACCTGGAGTCCTTTGAAGCCCTGGATATCTGGCGGGGTGATGTTCTGGCCAAGATCGTCCCGATGGAGGAATCCTACCCCATGGTGTTGCTGGGGAACAAAATCGATCTGGCAGACCGGAAGGTACCGTTGATCTATTCATTCATTCATTCATTCATTCAACAAACATGTGAGCACCCACTATGTGCCAGGTACTGTGTTAGGTCCCACACATACAGAGCTGAATCAGGCACAGTCCTTACTTCAAGAATTTCACAGTCTAGTAGTGGATACAGACACTGTAAAAGACCATCGTGGTACAACATGATAAATACAATGATAGAGAGAGATGTACCTTGGATATTTGGGACATCTACCCAAGCACAGAATATATAGCAGACTTCCTATAAGAAGTGGGTTCCAGGCTGAAGAAATAGCATGATGCGAGTGAAAGCTGAAGACAGTTTTGTCTGGAGACCGGGAGAGGAGGAGTTAAGGCATCAGGGGTGGGCGGGAGTCAGGTCTCGGTGGAACTTGCATCAATCTGTGGAACAACAGTATTTCTGCCTAGGGTCAGGTGGAGGGGCTGCAGTTATAAATTCTTGGATCTGTAAATTTTCTAGGAAAGTAATAGTTTTTATTAGCTTAAGCATATGCTGGATCATGAGGATGACCACTGGAGAGCTGGTCCGCCCCAGTTGCGCAGGCGCGGAGAGAGCCTTTCAGCCATTACCTGCTAATGAAGAAAGAGTGTAGGTAGACTTAATTTGTAACAGATGCTCTTGTGTGAAACGAAGCCCAAATGACACCCACAAGAGCTGTTTGAACCAAGTTTTCTTAGCCTTTCGAATGGAGAAAAGTAATGGGGGACTGAGTCATCATGTTTGAACTACATTTTCGCAGTGGTCCAAACAGAGAAAAGCAGTAGAAGGAGGTATTATTTGGCACAATTAATTGTGTTGATGGATAGAAGGAGGGAGGAAGGAGGGAGGGAGGAGGAAAGGAGGGAGGGATGATGCTTCCAATTGAGCCACCACCGGGAAAGGAGAGCTTTATGTTCATAAAGCGATGTGTTTGGTTTGCACATGCTGAGTTTGAGGAGCTTGTAGAACAACTTGTTGGAGATGACCAGCAGGCTTTGGAATACATAAGAATGCAATTTCAAAGGAGAAGTCTGTTCTAGGAAGCCTGTCCTGTATTCCGGGTTTGGGAAGATGCCCTTTGTACAATAGATACCTAGCAGTCACCAGTTCTATGGTCACTTCAGGGTGGAAACTCAGTGTCAACTCTCTAATTACAAATATCCAGCCTCAGATAACACCCTGAGATCATTCAAAGCCAAGATGTCTCCCTTTCTTTTCCCCACGGGGGCCAGCTGCAGGTGAGAATCCTGAGGTGGTCTAAGAGAGGGAGTAGGAAGGCCAGGTTTCATGTCACCGAGGCCCTGGGAAGACAAGGCTGCCCTGGACAGAGGGTGGGAGGGCAGCTGTTTGTTGAGAGAGGAGGAAGCCTCGCCAGATCGCAAGTGTCCCATGAAGGAGGGGCACCTGCAGGGCCAGAAGGGCAGTGATGCCTCCCAGGGGTCAAGGGGCCCATCCAAGCCTCAGGGGGGTGAGCTTTGATCTGCAGAGAGAGGAGGAACAAAGGTTTGAAAGGAGCAGTGAAGCACCAGGCAAGCCACCGCCTCTCTGGTGAGTACAGCCTACAAACAGCCCCAGCAGAGAGGGCAAGAGGACAGTGGCAACCCCAGGAAAAGCCAGGGCTCAGCCAGGCGGGGAGGGGGAGGGAGGACCCCGGAGCATGGAGGACGAGGGGAGTTTATCTTTCAAGAAGGTAGGCTGAGGAAGAGGGTGGGAAGGGTTTACAGGGAGGTGGCCCAGGAGGGGCAGAGGTGGGGAAGCTATAGTGACTGAGGACAGCAAGTGGAGAGGAGGAGGTGGGTGGGGAGAGCAGAGGGACTCTCCCTCCCAGACCCGAGCTTCTCAAGCTCTGCACAGACCTAGCCAGGGCTCTGCCAGGCCCTGGCCGGTGTGAGCAAATGGAGAAGCTGAGGGAGCACCATCGCTCTTGCCGGCCCGGGAGCCAGGCTCACATCCACTCGCCCTGTGCAGCTTCCGGCCGGTCCAGGTTCCCCAGTGGAATGGAGACCAGAACACCGACTTCCTGAGAAGTCGTTAAAGGAAATGATGCGACCGTTATCCTCTTTCTTACAATCCCCAAGGGATGGGCTGGGGAAACACAGCAGCCTTTCCTATTCAATACAAAGAAAATGAATATTTAAAAATACATTGCTAGATGCCAGGCACGGTGGTGCACCCCTGTCACCCCAGCTACTCGGGAGGCTGAGGTGGGAGGGTCATGTGAGGCCGGGAGTTAAAGTCCAGCCTGGGCCACATAGCAAGACCCACTTACCCCCACCCTGTCTCTAATATAGATATATGACTAGATTTGGGAAGATGAGAAAGTTCTGGAGATGAATAGTGGTGATGGCTGCACAACCGCATGAATATAACTAATTAATGCCCGTGAAGTGCGTGGTTAAAATGATAAATTTTATGTTCTGTATATTTTATCACAATGAAGGCACACACAAGTATATGTATACACACATGTGTGTGTACATGTATATATACACATATATGGTTATACATGCATGTATATATTTTTTGCCAGAATGATTTTAAAGAACTTACTGACTTAGCTTTAAAAAAAATCCCTACTCCTTCTACAGAATGTAATAGTGAAAAAAAATGAGTTTATTAGAAAGCTTTGCTAGCTTCCATGCTATAAGGAATTTATTACTGGGATGTGAATTCTTTGGTCTATGTTCAGGTAGGTAATTTCTGACTTACCACCGATTCATAGAATTAGGATCATGGCTCCTAAAAATATTCTTTGTTATTTTTAATAATGGTTTAGTAATTAGCACTTGACATGCTAATTTTAACACTTGCATAATCAATCATTTTAGATGCCTATAAGATGGAAAACGTCATAAATAAAATGATGTAAACTGGACTAATTTTGTCAAAATTTTCTCAAAAGTTTTGCTGGCCCGGCGAGCCAGCAAAACTACAACAAGCAAAGTAAAATGTTAATAGTATATTGTCAACCAAAAGCAGAATTAACGAAAGTAACACTTTCAGAATGTTCATACGTCTCATGTCCCCAAGCACCACACCCTGAGCCTAATTCTGGAGTCAGAGCCTAAGTTATAAATAACTTTCATTTTATAAATAAAAGATGAGATGATTTTTAAAATCATGAAACTGTAGCTGGAATTGGAAGAGAAAAAAGTACTGTCTGGGTGGCTTTCTGAGGTTGAGTAGCGGGGGAGATATAAAAAGAACGTTAATTTGCAACATAGTCTCAACTGATATTTCAGAGTCTGTATTCGGTCATTTCATATAAAACAAACAGAGAAAGAGCAGGGAAAATGAGATTGAAAAGGCCGTCCTAGCCGGACACTCAGGCGACCCCGTCCTGACGAGAGGGCAGGTTGGGCCGAGATGGGTGGGCTGAGATGGGTGGGCCGAGATGGGTGGCCTGCAGCCGCCAGCGTGTTCCCGGTGGCTCTGGGTGATCTCGGGCTCCCATCCTGCCCTTCTGCTTCTCAGGCCGTGAAACATAAAGAATCCCCCTGCGTCCCGGAGAAGCAGACTCGCTTCACTTCATTTCATTTCAGTTCAGTTTGTACTGTAAGCCGGGCACCCCCACGTGCCCAGTTAACCGCTCGGCGCCTGGGGGAGTGGGAGCCCAGCCCTGGCCAGGGTAGAGCAAAAGGAGGTGTGAGAAGTGTAAGTCCGGGCCTTGCCCTCAGCGACTTGAAAAGATACAAAACCCTTGGCATTCCTAAGATGCTTAGACATTAAGGTATTAATGTCTAATGATTATTTATTTGCATGTCACCAGTAAAGACAATAATATTCAGCGGCCCGGCCATCCTGTATTCTTCCTCCAAGCAGTTCAGGATTTTGCCTGAGCTGCGAGGCTTCTTGGTTATTCACCATGTCTCGGGCATCTACACCCCACGGAAGGGAGTACTTTCGGCCAATTCTGGGATCAGTTCTCCCAAAGGCAGGAGGATCTTAGAGGTCAGAGGCCAAGACTAAGGCCTGAGGATTCTCCCTGCTGTGCTCAAATTCAGCTGTTCCTGGGCATGTGGGTGTCACCTGGCCTCCCCAAGGCTGACCCCAGCCTTCACCCCGGTCTTGGGTCGTGAGCCTCACGATGCCAGAATACTGCCGGTGGACAACAGAGGCATTGTGAAAGAAAGCCACGAGCCACTGGGCCCTCCTGCCACTTCGGAGGCCAAGGAAGCAAGGACCAAAGAGACAAGGGACAGCAATGATACTTTTTATCCCAGTAAGATAGATGTTCCCAGGACCTGCAGGAGTGACAGGGACAATCTGAACAGGGCAGTCTCTGATCTCCCCCTGCCTTCTCTGTGTTCTGGGAGAGGCCAGAATGGTCTTTTCTCCATGAGAGAGACCTTGGTTCCCCCTCAATAAATTGAAACAATGGTTAGAAAACACCAGGCACAGCAAGTGCTCAATACGTTGTCATTTCCTCCTACCCGAAATAATTGGACACCAAACTCAGTGGTACCAGTCGTCTTTGGAAGTAACTCAAAGAGCTGCCAGAGCATTTGCAATCCAACACCCCCAAACTGTCATCAGCCATTTGCACTCGGGTAGAGAAGTGTTCATTCAGCCTGTGCTGCGTGGCTCGTGTGTGTCAGGCCAAGAGCTGAAAAGGTCTTGACTCTAAGCTTAAGGAACCTACAGTCTAGCAGGAGCAACAGAAAGGGAGAAGCATGGTTCTTACACGGTGCCCTGCAGAGAGCAGCTCGGACGCCGGGGCAGTGCTGAGCCGGGGCTGCGTCCAAGCTCTGCCTTCTCCCAGCTATGCGGTCAGGGGTGAGATGCTGAACCCCTCTGAGCCTCAGTGCTCTTATCTAGAAAGTGGAGCTAACAACACCCATCTCTCAGGGTCCCTGAGAGGCTGAGATGAGTTAATGTTTGATAAAGTGTCTAACACAGTGCCTGGCCCATAGTACGAGCTTATTAACTCCCAGGACTCTACCCTGGGTAAAAAGGGTCAGCAGGGATCCAAATCTCTGCCCAGAAACAGGCCTCCCAAGTATGGACCTGCCCAGTCGGCTCAGGGGACGGAAGTCCTCCCTTCCTGCCCTTCCTGGCTAGTGTCTGTTGTGTCCATCTCCCTTTGAAGGAACTGAAGAAGGAGCCAATGGCAGGAAGAAGCTCCTGAGATCTTAGACCGTAGACCTTAGGAAGGCAGCATAGTGCAGTGGGCTCTAATTCCACCAGGCCCATCTTCAAACCCTGCTCAGCCCCATGTATTTTAAGCAATTTTCCCCCTCCAGGCCTCAGTTTCTTCATCTGTGAAATGGAGCTAACAATACTCACCTCACAGATTTACGATGAGGCTTTAAGAGATAACGTGTAAAGTGACAGAAACACGGAAGGTGCCCAATAAACAGGCGTGGTGGTGATGATGGTGGTTATGGTGGTGATGTGACTGTGGGGGTGATGGCAGTGATGATGACACAACAACAGTGATCATTTCTTCCCTTCATTCAGGTGCCCCAGGAGGTAGCCCAAGGCTGGTGTGAAGAGAAGGACATTCCATACTTTGAAGTCAGTGCCAAGAATGACATCAATGTGGTGCAAGCCTTCGAGATGCTGGCCAGCCGGGCTCTGTCGAGGGTGAGTAGCTGTGGGGGTGGCACCTGCCAAGACCGGCCCCTGGGTGGGGAGGACCTCAGGAGCTTCCAGAGAAGAGCATCCTGAGTACAGGTAGGGATGTGGGTGGACAGGATTGCTCATCGTCTGAGTTAATTGTTTTGCTGAATGGGCGCAGTGAAGCTTCAGTGCCGGAACCCCAGAATGCCGGATATAACCCTACCTGAGAGCATGTAGGCTGTGGCCTCTCAGTCTGGCTGTCAAAATCCTTTGTGGAGTATCAAAAACTCCAGTCCTGTACCTCACCCCCGAAGATCCTAATTTAGTAAGCGTTTGAAAAGTGATGATCTGGTCTAATCCTCATTGGCAAGAGGGAAGCCCCATGGTGCCAAGCATTTATCCAAGTGAAATATCAAACCTGCAGGAGTTGCTGACATCTTTCCGTCAAAAAGATGAGTAAGGCCGGATGCAGTGGCTCACACTTGTACTCCCAGCACTTTGGGAGACCAAGGCAGGAGGATCGCTTGAGGCCAGGAGTTTAAGACTAGCCTAAGCAACATAGTGAGACCCCATCTCTAAAAGAAACTGAATAATTAGCCAGGTGTGGTGGCTGGTGCCTATAGTCCCAGCTACTTGGGAGGCTGTGGCAGGAGGATCACTGAAGCCCAGGAGTTCAAGGTTATAGTGAGCTATGATGGCACCACTGCACTGCAGCCTGGCCAACAGAGTGAGACCCTGTCTCAAAAACAGAATAGATGTAGGCCGGGCGCAGTGGCTCACACCTGTAATACTAGCACTCTGGGAGGCCGAGGTGGGAGGATCGCTTGAGGTTGGGAGTTGAAGACCAGCCTGAGCAAGAGCAAGACCCCGTCTCTACTAAAAATAGAAGAAATTAACCCGGGAGTGGTGGCTGCATGCCTGTAGTCCCAGCTACTCAGGAGGCTGAGGCAGGAGGATCACTTGAGCCCAGGAGTTTGAGGTTGCTGTGAGCTAGGCTGACGCCACTGCACTCTAGCCCGGGCAACAGAGCGAGACTCTGTCTCAAAAAAAAAAAAAAAAAAAGAATAGATGTAGATCCCTCGTGGGTATGGTGCTCCAACAAGCCCAAGTTGAGTGGCAGGCCGTGTGCAGGGTTCAGGGGCCGTCTGTCTCATGAGGAGGGCAGACAGGCACCTGAGCGATGGCAATATGGTATCATGTGTTGGGGCAGGGCTTGGAGATGGGGCCCAGAGGAGGGGCGCACAGATACCCCATGCTGCAGGAGAGGAGAGCGGGGAGAGAGCAGGACCAGATCAGGGAAGGCTGCCTGGAAGCAGTAGCAGGGTTTTAATGCCAGTGTGAGGTGGAGTTCAAAGCTCAGAAAAGGATCCATGAGAGATTGGCATGGGGAAGGGTCTCATCTTTTTGTTTATCGTTCCGCCACATTTAATCGAGGCAGCCTTCTTACACGAGGGAGAAGACAACGTGGCAATGGTTCTGAATGAGCAAATGAGGCCTGGAGGCTTCCCCTGTGTGGCATCATCCGCGGTCATCACGGGTGGCCCCGCGCCGCCAGCTGCCCTGGAGAGAAGTGCCCAGGGCCCAGCTGGGGGTTGTCCCAGACGGAGAAAGGCAGCAGCTTCCTCTAGAGGCTGCCCGGGGAGAAGATTCCAGCTAGCCGCCCTGACACTCAGAGCCTTAATCTTAGGGTCGCCCAACCCCGTGAGCTCTTCTTATGCCTCCCCTGCCAGCCCCAGCCCCCGCGATCTCCAGCTAAGGGAGCAGCCAGGCGTCCCTCTCTTAGTGCTTGGTCGACCACAAAGTGCGGCTTTGTTATCGCAGCACGGTCGGCTCCTAAAGTACAGACGGGCCTGTTCTTGCATACGGCATCACCCCGGCATGCTGAGGGGTGCCATTTGAACCCGTAGGGTGATACGCGATAAACAGTCCTCCACGAACACAGTGCCGCAATTGCCAAACGCTTAGTCACAAGCAAGCTGCCATCAGCCCGCAGCCAGTGTCTGTGTACCAACAGTGTCTGTCCTCTCTGGGGAAGACGTGTCCTTTATTCTTGAAAGTATGTCCTTCCTGCTGTGTCACTTTTATGACATGTTGCTGTTAGTAGGCAGTAGCGTGTCTGTCTGTCTGTCTGTTTTTTTTTAACATCCTTTCTCGGTAAAAGACTAGGTTGGCCATCCCATGCGAGTCCCCCACATTTATGGGGGAAATTTACTGATCAGAGTCTGGAAGGCACAGCTGCGGTATCTGCTGTCAGACTGGCCTGGCCTGGAATCCTGCCCTGGTCCTTCCAAGCGCGCCCCTCGGCAGGAAGGTGACTTCTCTGAGCTTCAGCTTCCTCGTCTATAAAGTGGAAATAATTCGATTCCATAAGTATCTCTCGAGTTGTCAGGCGAGGGCTGGAGATATTTTTCTATCCCCCGGGTTTCTAGCTTGACAAATGAAGGGACAGTGGATTAGTGGCGCCATGAGCCAAGATAGGGACAGAGGAGAAAGCAGGGCCTTTGTGAGAGCGAGGGGTAAGGAAGTCCGTTCGGGCACACTGCGCTCGAGGTTGCTGGAGACTCCAGGTGGGAACGTCTAAGTTCCGCAGTGCGCTCTGGGCTAGAAACAGCAATGCGTGAGCCATCTATAGAGACCAGAGTAGGAGATCATCAACATTCTGCAAGCAAAGAAGGTAGGTAGGTTACTCTAGTGTATCAGTTTGGCCACATTCAAGGTTTAGGGTATTAATTATTCCAAAATACGACTAAGAACACCCTAATGATTAAAGAAGAGACACCCACCTGCTCTGGGGGATTTGGTGGTGGGATTCCGGTCCTAGAAAGTTAGCAATACCGTCCCTGCTGGGGCTTGTCAGGCCCCCAGCTCCAGGGGCCTGAGATGTCACAGGGAGGCCCAGTTCCTTTGGGGTTAATTGGAGAAAGACAAAATTGCCACATTCGGGAGGAAGCAGTCTGGCCAGCGGCTGCTCAGTGAAACGACAGCACCTTTATGAGAGGTCCTCAGGACGCGACCCCTAAAGGCAGGGCCACCGAGGCGACCAGGCTGAGGGCACGGGGACAGACTCCCACAGTCACACCCCCACTGAAAGGGGGCCTGGCTCCGCCCCTGCTCAGGTCCACACCGGCGGAGCACGAGCCACTGCTATGCAGAGGAGTGTGCGCGCTGGCTCGCTCGCTCCACGCGCAGCGCTGGCTGTGGAAGGAACGCGAATGCTCTCGAGCTCCGTGACTAGCAAAGGCCGTGGCGGAGTAAAGAGGTGTGAGCCCTTAACAAGAAGCCCCTCAGCCTGCGGAGCCCCTCTTCTTGAGGAAGGGCCCCTCCCCCACCTCACCCTGACCTCTGAACCAAGGGTGGGGGGCTGTTGGTGAGGAATGGACCAGCTGGTGGGCAGAGGCTCGTCAGCCTGGGAAGGGGCTTCCCTGGACCCTCGTTGGGGCAGAGAAGCAGGAAGCCCCGTAGAAACACTGAGTCTACTTTAGGGAGGGCTCCCGGGACATGGGAAGGACAGAGGACTGATGGTTTTTCCAGGTGCCCAGTTGGGGGAGCGGGGAGGTGGACAGGGAACGGGGAGGTTGGGCGTTTGGGGATGTTTGCAGGAGGGGTCTCCAGCAGAATTGAGGAGTGGCTGTTGCCATCTCTGCCTGAGCCCAAAGATCACCTCAGCTGTCCGCTCTGGAGAATAGAAAGTTGAGACCTGGTGGGAGGTCAGGGACCTGGGCCCCTGATCCAGCCACTGAGCTGCTCCGGGCTCCTGGGAAGAGGCCTGATGGGGAGGCAGGGGAAGGAAAAGGGTGGGGCAGACCAGTGGCCTCCCCCTCTGGGCCTCAGTTTCCCAACA